GTGAAAATGTCTGAATTCTGAATCTTCAATACACACTTTTGCTATGCTGAGCCATATGAAAGTCTCTTGTCTATGTATTATTGCTTTCTTTCCTCCCCAGGGCAGATGAGTTAATTTTTAAGAAACTTTGCCTATTTGTGTATTCCAGTTGGATGTTCTTTCCAAATTCTAACATTTAAATACAAGTATTAAGAAGAGAGATTAAAATATTGCTAAATTAAGTCTTTTCCAGTCTGAATATGAGGCTATATAACAATTGAAGTATAATATACCTTTCAAAAGATTAAATTAAATTGATTCTATACACTTTTCTCATTGAGATTTTAGAAGTAAAATATAATTCAACACTATAATGACTTGAAAATTACTTACAAATATAATTTGTTTTTACATTTGCGCCCAGTTCTCTCAAAGATTTTTTTTTCTTGCCAGCTCAAAATTGATGTTTTGTAGTAAGCAATTGTAATTTTTAATTCTACTTCAGGAACCCCTATGAACATTGAATATTATCTATCTCCATATCAAGTTCTGGAAGAAGAGCTGAATCCTGGTAAAAATGGATAAACAGTAAAAATTAAAATAGTGTTAGCTTATTTTTTTGAACTGAACTTTAGTTTTTACAATTGTAGTTTGAAAAGAATCCAGTGTACTTAAAGGGTGAACTCACTTGGTGCAGTAACTATCTTTCTACAATATGAGTTTCCTTTCGAGCAGAAGATCGCTAAATGGAATTGGGAACAATTTAAGGTTTCACTACATCCAAGTTCATATGCAAGATGGTTCCTTGTAAGTGGAACAACTAGAATGACATTTCTGTATCCTTTGGTTCTTCATGATTGGCACTAAGGTGGGAACAAATTAATTTGTAAACTGCTTGTTTAGCAGAGTCCAGAAAGATGCATACAGTTTGTGGCAAACAAAGCCCTGTGATGCACTTATTTAATGAAGGGACATGATTGTTCAGGAAACTGGAGACTTTGCCACTTCTAGGTTGCTGGTACTAATTAAGACCTGCATGGTAGCAACCAAAAGTCATTCAGTGACCTGTGTGAAATGAACTGGTGGATCTTTGGTTCTTAATGAAGACATGCTCATGTCACAAAAGAGTGTCAGCTATGATGGTCAAACTGGCATCTTTGGCAATCTGGGTTAAGGCAATCTTTGGCTAGGTGATGGAGATCTTGCATTGTAGCTGTCTAGGTTGTGCCTGCACTATATATGACTGGAAGACACCAGGCCTTCTAGTCTGGCACCTTTCACCAGCAGTATGTTCATCTATATTTTCATAAGGGGAAAAAAATGCACTGACTCATACCTGTCTTCTTTCTTCCCTCAGGCTCCCAAGTATGTGGAACAAAAGTATTTGTAACTGTTGGAAGTTCAAACACAACACACAAACTTCCCATTTCCCCATTAATTGTGGATTCTCAGGCAGGAGATGGGTGAGATTCAAAGGCATTATTGACATTTCTGAACATATAAATGGATTTTCAAATCAAATGACATTGACATCATTTGTATTGATCCTATGATCATATAATGGAGATGCAAACCCACTGTTAGACAAGAGCAACACTACTGTATTGACAGCATTATCCGTCTTGGGAATACTCTGCACAATCAGATGACTGTTTTCCCAAAAGAGTTTAAAATTATGTCCAAATTTATATTAACTGTATGAATTCCATGGGATCATAAATCTTAAGATCAGAAAGGACCAATGAGATGATTTTGTCTGACCTCCTGTACAACATAGACCATAAAACTTCATCCAGTAATTCCTGCATCAAGCTCCTAACTTTAAATATCAATTAAGTGTATTGTAATTAAATTGTGTAACATTTTAAACTGTTTGCATGACCCAACTCCTAGGACAGCATCATTTAATCTGACTGTCTGAACAGGTAATACAAGGGGTAGGCTTGAGGGGAAACTCCCCTCTTAACCACACTGCACTGATTTATAGCTAGAATCCTGCCTGTTTTTTGTGGCTCACCTTCCTTCTCTATCAGTCTTCATATAGACTTTGCTTTATGACATCTAGTCTATACTTGCATTTTCCAGAGGGAGATTTTTCTTGAGGTGGGAAGAGAATCATCTATACCATATGTGTGTCTTCATTTTACCCTGGGCACTAAGAATCCTTGTCACACCAGTGTCTTCTTTAACAAGCTTGCCTTTCTACCCTTTTTTCCTCAGCAACCCTGCTTTTTTACCACTGACTGATGAACTCAGCATGGATTTGTCAGCTTGCTTTTTCTTGATGTTTCATCAGCCTTTTCCTATGTCCTCATCCAGTATTCAAGAGATACAGAAGCTTACAGGCATGTTTAATTATCTGTAAGATTAAATATTTTTGAGTATTCTACATAGCTTGTTTCCTTTTTACCTCCCTCATGCTAATTTTGCAGGAGATGTGTCCAGATTTTCTACCTTCTCTGTGAAAGAAAATCCTCTGATTAGTATTCCTATCAGCTCAGATGTGATTAGCACATTATTAATGTGCTATCATGTAAATGTGACCTGACATTGGAAAATAATATGTAGAGGACCAAGAATAGATGATATAAGGAGGAAGAATAGTCTTGTGAATAAGGCACTGGACTGGGACATGAGACATCAAGATTTAATATGAAGCTATGATAGACTTCCTGGTGAAGTTTCTGTGTATCAATTCCCAATCTGTAAAATTGGGGTAAACACTTCCCTATCTTCTTTATGATGACTGTTGGTTTGTAAAAATTGAATGAACATTTTCCATGTCTCATGAATAACTACAAATCAATCCAGAAATACTAATCTAAAAATTACCTGGCTTTAGGAATTTCAATTGATGGACTGAAGCTAGCTTCTCTTCATGCATTGATTGTTCAATTTACCTTTAATGATGAGTACAAGGAAGATTTGGCTATGAATAATTCTTGTTTCTTTGTGGTATGTATGTTCTGACTTTTGATACATGCAAGTCATTTTGCTCTTATTCTTTGTCTGCATTTATGTGGTTAAGTAAACACTTCTTGTATGTCAGTAAGCAATGCCAATATTCAGGAATTCTGACATAACTGAATGCTCATCAGGGAGTATATTATTCCAATTTTTTTAACTCTGTCAACCCCCTTACTTTTAAATAATTTAAGGCAATTTGACACCTTTATAAAGGTGATAAAGGAGACATTGTTTTGTGTGTAGTAACTGGAGTCATATCAATTGTATGTGGTGGTGGTGTGTTTTAAAGCATTTAGCCTAAGTAAATTTGTCTACCACTTTCCCTCTAATTCCTTCAAAAGCAGAATTTGTTAGTGACTAGTCTCAAATCTGAGATTCTCCAGTATATCCAAGATGCTTCCGAGGTAGATTTTCAGTTTTAAAATCTTTAGCATAGATCATGTCACTCCATTTTAAATCTGATTTAAAAATGGAATTCCCTACTGCATAACAGTAAGAGTAGTGAATTTACTATTTGTTATAGTCTTTATTACAATGAGTGGCAGAAAGAATGTAAAAAATTAGTCACTCCTTTAGTTAATCGGATTATACATAAATTTAACTGATTTCTTTTTGAAATGGTTTTTTCTGTGTTTTTTGTTTTGTGGTACATAGTGGTTAAAAACAATAGTTTCATAGTTAGTATTATGATAGCCTTAGTCTAGGAGCTATTTTGCATATTTAGAAATTACTCAAAAATAACCTTAAATATAAATTTTAAAGACTGCTGAGGTTAAGTAATGGTGTAAGATGTTGGCAGGACAGCCCTGGTGGGTGAAAGCCACTGTTTATCTACAAAGCAGTGGCAGGGCAAATTTCCCACATCCATCTGCTTTGCTAGCATTCCTTAATTCTGAAAGGGGGACGGGGGCAGTTGGAGAAGAGGGCACTTCCTCTACACATAACAGGGATAACTACATGGCCCATGTAGTTCTTGGTCTCTGCAGTGTGGCTGTTTTGCAGGGCAATGGTGGGTGAGTTTTTATAATGTGATAGCTGCAACTGAGACCCACCAAAGTCCTCCTCTTTAGAGACCACTACATATCCATCAGATGGAAATAACTTTAATCTCTACAGAGCTGTGCTAGATATGGGTGAGAGACTCTGTAGCTTATTAGCAATGCCCTAAGGCATCCAGTTTCCTACCAAGTGCTAATGTTACACGTTCAAGAACAAAGACTTTCTTTCTGGAAAAATAAGCTTATTAAATTAAGTGCTGACCTTTTTGGAGCTTTAAACAGGGAGGATCTCTTCCCCCTCCCCCCTCTTTCTGGACACACAGGTAAAATTCTACACCCGACCCTGCCCAATTGCTCCTTAATATGCACTCAGTTCAGTGCCCTGCTCTGCTCTTAAAGCAACAGCTCCCATTTGACCAAGGCAGAACCAGTAAGGTTATGTCTAGACAGCAAATGAAGGTGTGATTATAGTGTGTCCAGGGTCTCCAGAGGGCTTGTGCTAAGGTGGGCTAAGCTGCCACATCTTCACTACCACTGTTACCTATGCTAGTGTGGATTTTCCTATGCTCGCTACAATCATACCTTCACTTGCTGCACAAATATATTCTAAAATTACATTAAAACAAATATCACATCTAAATAAACTATCAAATATGTTTTGCAAAATAAAATTGCTTCAGCAATTATTCCAGAGTCCTTGCACTAAAAAGATTAGAGCACCTTTTTCCCCTCAAATGAGTCGCTAGGTGGGTTTGAACCCACACCCTTTGTAGCTGCCCATAAACCTCTTCTAATTTAGCTGTAGGAGCAATCAATGGCAGAAACAAGTTATTTGGTAGTTGGACCACCCCTAGATGGTCCATGCAATACATGCTCTGCCAGTTGGTTACACAACTATTTGTGAGACAGTATGGAACACTGGGTGACTGGGGTCCTAGTGGGGACCAGCTGTGGTCACTCAATTAGGGTGAACTGCAAAGAATGGGGCAGACAATCCCCATAAAGCGGTTGGATATTCCAATACTTAGATTTACCAAGCCAGCATAAAACAGCTTCTTTATTACCTTCCTAGTTACTCAGAAGTCCAAACAACACAGTTCCCTTAAAGTGATCCAGCCTCAGGCCTCCCTCCAGGTACCCACGTCAAATGTGATGCAAATTTCTGTAAATCTTATTTCATCATATAAAAGAAAAGGTTCTACCAATCCCAAAGGATCAGACACATTACCTCCCAGGTTATTGAATATTCCAGATCTTATCCAAATACACACTACAGCCAATTCTTATTAACTAAACTTTATTTAAAAAAAAAAGAGTATGGTTAAAAGATCAGTATACATACAGACATGAGTTCAATTCATTTAAGTGCAGATTCCTAGCAGAGATGGTGAGCTTTGTAGTTGCATAGAGTTCTTTTAGAAATAGTTCATAGGTTATAGTCCAATGTCCAAATATCATATTCAGGGTGTACTAGCATAACTGGGACTTCAGTCTTTTGACTCCAACTTCCCCTGATGAAGCCTAAGCAGATCTAAGATGACAGAATCAGGACCCAAAGATCCTTTATACAATTTCATGTCTTTTGACAAGTTGGAGTTCAAAAGGTAATTAGCATGACTTTGAAGGAGGTCCCTCACCGGTACTTTGCCTTATGTTAATTCTATAGCCATGTGCTTTTTCTTCCACCATTCACAGATTATTTGCTATACACTTTAAAGAGGGATGACTACAGAGATATCCCGTGTTTACAACTCATTTAAATGCTAGGATTTTCTTTTGATCTCTGAAGTATAAGAATATAGCATAGACCGGGACTGTTTATTACATTGTCTGCCCTACTCATACATCTGTAAATACACAAAAACACAAACATTATCTCCCCACATGTCTTTTGGGGGTTATTTATTTTGCAGGATGTTTAACCCTTTCCAGCCATGCGTCACAACTGGTTATCAGGATTCCTGACTCTGGGAAAAGTGTGGTGAAGAGATAGCACAGCTAAGCACATTCCTTCTGAAAGGCAGTATGGGAAAGTTTCCATTCCTCACAAAAATAGGTATTTCTTCATCAGTCTCTTCCAGATTGCCTGAAGCACAGTTATTTCATAAATAAGGGCACAGAGAAATCAGGTATAACAGGAGCCCTCGTCAGTAAAATTCCATTTACCCATCCAAAGTGTGTACCTGCTATAATTGAGATTCTTCGGCATCAAGTGGCATATAACACTCTTATTGGCAGCTGTCTCTCTGAGAACACTATAAACGAAGGTAAATTGTATGTTATGAAGTTTTGTTTCTCTGTAATAGTCTGCTGATTTGTTTTGTATTTGTAAGTTGGATGTCACCACCACAGCAGGTGCATTCTCCAAATCACTGCTATTTACAAATTGTTTGAAATGACTGAATTCTTATCAGCATCCTTAGTTTTTGTGTAGGGCTCTCTGTAGGTTAAATATTTCAAGTAGCACACCCATGTCTGACCCAATATTTAGTTTCCAGAGGCAAACTGAACTGCTGAGTGACAATAATTAAGATTCTGAGTTGCCAGTGTTTTGAATGGCTAGTGTATAATTCACTTAAATGGGGCTAAGTTTAAATAAACTAAGTTATTAAATGAAGTTACTGCTTTACAGATTGCTCAGAGCTGCTTTATTTTGAAGTGTCTCCACAAAAGGGCACTAGCTTTTCTATCTCATTCCAGCATCCTATGGGGGAGAGTTTAGCCTGTGGTAAGTGTAGAATATTCAACACTGCTATTTTGTGTGTGTGTGTATGTGATATATGTGTGTGTGTGTATGTATATATATATATATATATATATATATATATACTA